ATCCACATGTTTTCCTTCTGATGACTGATGAGGAGGGAACAAACAAAAGGAGGAAGAATAAAAGTTAAACCTCTGTGGGGAGCTCAGGAGGTGTGCGAGCCACCTTTGAAAACACTGCACCGGCTGCGCTGTGTAAAACTACTGCAGTTACATCTAACCAGTAAGCACTTATCTCTTTATCTTCTTTAGGGATTTGGAGCCCCATACAGAGAAAATGGAGTCAGAGTAATTTAAAGCTATGTACACCATGTCTGTGCTCCGAGAAATAAATACATACCTCAGGTCCTGAATGATGCAGTGGGAGATGCCCATGGTGCCCAGGTGAGCCTGGGTTTTGGTTAACTGTGCTGTTAACTGTCCCCTTCTGATTGTCCTCTGTATTAGAGGGAAATACGGATTTTACCGCTGGCCCACAAAGGAAATCTTGGTCCTAAACGAGCCGTCAAGCAGGATACCTGGAGCTGTAAAGGCAACACAGACAAGTGTGCAGAAAAACATACAGAAGTTGTGGAGAAAGTACTCCTGCCTTTCACCACAAATGGGCCTCAATGTAGCTCTCCAGAGGAATACATTAAAAACATGGAGCCTTCCAGGCATGGAAGCAGCACTTTGTGGGCTGTGGGGTGCTGGAGCTGAGCCTGAACATGGCCTGTGGACTCTGCACCTCACCTGGTGTTCCCATGTTCACCCCAGCTCTTGCTAACACTGCAGGAATAACCAGAGCTACAAGCTACCAGGCTCCTCCACCTCCCATTTGGATCCCAGGCTGCCTGTAACTGGGACCAGACGTAGGAGAGGACCCAGGAGGTCCCACCCGCTTCTACAGTAAAATCTGTCTCCATCCCAGAACCAGCACAAGCCAAATCTCTGGCGCAACAACTTGAGGGATACATTTCCAGCACAGCGGACCCAGTGCTTGTGGTAAGTGAGGTGCCCTGCTAACGAGCAGAAAGACATGGTACAGCACACATACAGGCGGAACTTGGGTCATACCACAGGCCAGACCCTGCTCCAGCCATAAAAGTCCCACATTAGGCTTTAAAGATTTCTTAGCTGGAATTAAGCAGCTTTCCGGTCCCTTTCTGGTCACATCAGCTAGACGGAACAATTCCTCCTAGCCCATTAACAAAAAGAGCTGGCAAGCCTAGATTTGATGACTGTCTAAGCAGTATGAAGAGGTGGTGATTTGCTGGCGATGTGTAAAAACAGGCAACAAATCAGCTGGCAACACGCACTGGACTGAAATTAAATCAAAGCAAAAGGCAGATGACTTTGAATGGGCTCCAAAGGTCACAGAGAAACAAGCAAAAACTGATAAAGTTCACAGGAAAACAGAACAAGCAGAAGGAGCACTGCATCTTCTTGGCACTGCGAGCTGTTGGCATCTGATTTGCAACAAATGTATTTCTGAGTTAAAAAAAAAATAAATTTATCTGGAGGGAGTCTGGAGGCATAAAAAAGAAAATTAACTGGTGCATATATGCCTGCCTGTTACAGTACTGGGGAGCGCGTGCAGAAACCATGGTGCTGGGAAAGGCTGAGTTGTGGAGGATCTTCAGTGCTGTGGGGATGGTGATGCTGGAGGCGGGCTCCAGCAGTGGCTGTCTTCCATGGTGGGTGCCATGGGCACTCAGAAGAGCTGGCTGCAGGGCTATAGCTATGCCCCAGCTGTGCTTCATGCTGTCCCAACTATTCCTTAGTCATGGGAAAGGACCTACTTCACACCATATAGCATGCTCAAGAGGATGGCTGTTGTGTGAGAGATTAACACAGAAGAGCAAACTCCAGGATTAGAGCTCAGAGGCCAATGGTTCTTACGTGAGGCAAGATACAACCACCAACAAGAAAGAAGTGAGAAAGAGCCTTTGCATTGAGCACACAAAATAGCGGTGCACCAAAGCCAGTGGAAAAAGCACTCTCAGCCCAGTGCAAGGAACTCAGAAGCCACCAACAGCAGGGCAACCTACCCATGATGGGATGCCGAAGCAGAAGGAGGACGTGAGTGTAAGTTGGTACTTTCCTAATTGCAGGATCTGCTTAGCTATGCTATGTTATGTTCCACGTAGTATCATTGAAACACACAAGTTTTCATCTTTTGGCAGTTTGGTTGGTACAGCATTTAATTATCTCTGCAGCTCGGGGCTGGTAGCAAATGCTTTTCAGACAACTAACGGTGATAAAAAAGGCAGAAAAAGTGTGCGTATCCCCTTCTCTTTTGGCCTTTAGCAAGGGCAGAATCCAGCCCCCATAGTACCTCATATGCATTTCCTTAGTATTGCATTACGAAGTGGCTGTAGTAGGCTTGGCGCGACCAAGCCCAGAGAAGTGGGAAACGTATAAGGGAATGGTTTACACCAGTTCCTCCCAGTGCTGCAACATGAAGATTTTAAATCAGTGTGTGGGTCACAAGGTCTCATCGGTCCCTCAGGGGTTTAAGCTGTTGAGGGCATCAACTTCCCTGCAGCCAGCAATCCACAACCTGGACGTCAGAAATACAGCAGCCCACACGCCAAATCAAGAGCTTCGGATTGCCCCCAGCGAATGGCACTGGGCGTTTGGGACCCATGGGAGAGACCTTCATGAACATCCCAGCCTCAGGCCTGTTAGAAATGGCTTGCTTTTGTAACGCATTTGTAAAGAAAAAAAATCCTTTGTCCTCCAAGCCCCTGCATGCCCCCTGCCATGGGGTTGTGGGGGATACACAAGCTTCATGTGAGGGAGGGATTGTCTCAGTGATGTCTGGTTTGGGTGGAGGAGTGGGTGGCGGGTGATGCCACTTCCAATTCCTAGCAGGAATCTGGATGTGTCTGTGCTGGGAAATTGCAAAATAGTACATTGTGCTAATTAATGCCAAACAGGAGGGCTTTGAATATACATCATCAGAATAATCTTTAGCAGCCACTAGATGCCTTCCATCCCTGACTATCTCATAAAGAGCATTTATATTTATTACGTGGCAATGGAAATACATCTCAAGAGCAAATTGCCCAGCACAACCATAAAGCTGAGTTAGGATTAAATTGTCCAACGTGCACAGAATGAAACACCACTCCGTTCATTCATGCTATTTTCACCACTGGCAGCTTCTGCTGCACTAACTAAAATACTTCTGATCCAGTCCAACAAGTTTTTTTCCAGGTTTGCTTCTCCACAGTGAAACCACAGACCGTGCTATATGGAAACCTCTGAGCCTTGAAAAGTCTAGAGTTACTGTAGGTTGCAGCGGTTGGATTTGATCCTAAAACAATGAAACGAAATGTGAAAAAGACACAGATGGCTGTCGCCTCTGTGCCATTTGGAGTGGTTTCTGGTTTCTAGCCAGTCAGCCCCATGCCACAGTCATACAAATAAAGGCAGCAAAGTCTGGTGCAGTGGTGTACACATCTCTAACACATCGTGACATGAGGGATAAAACAGCTGAGTGTTTTTGAAAACGGCAAAAAGATCACCACACCAGCTTGAAGGACAGAGGATTTAAGGACACAGGGTGAAACCTTGTCTTCCCTTAAGGAACAGGAGGCTTTGCTATGGCTTTTGATGCCCTGGATACCTCTGTGCTCATGGGTGTGTAGAAGCCTAAAAGGCTGATAAAGTCTGAAAGCCCTCTCCTGTGGTCCTCAACCCTGGGGGAACTGGTTCCTTGTCCTGTCTGTGTAACGTCAGCTCCTTGAGATGCAGGCACTTGGGCGGAGTTCAGCCCTGCGAGGCTAACAAATAACAGCAATGAGAGGCAGAAAAGGGAAGAGCCTGATGAGAAGAGGAATGAGAAGCAGCCGTGGGGAAGTAGTTCAGATTGCCTTGACTGAGGGTGCACCACCAAGGTCTAGACCTTCAATTCAGCGTGATGTAAGGGGACGTAAACAAAACTGCACCCTCTTACTCCAGTGCTGGATTTAGCCCTATAGTGAACTTCAGGAAGAAACAAATGGGTAAGACTGGGCTGCAGTCCTACGTTAAAAATGCTCTTCTCCAGGGAGACACCAGTAACAGAGCAGATTTTGATCTCTCGTAATTAAACTCCTAATCAAACCCTTTTAAAAAAATGCCCGATGGTTCCCTTCTCAATCTCTTGTGAGGATGGGGAGGCTTAGAAATGTAATACAATTCTGTGGCTGAGTTAAACATCAGGAAGGTTTCAGACTATGTTTTACTAGAACCAGATGAATTTCTAAGCTCAAAATCCAGCATACAGAATGCTGATTAAGTTTGATCTGGTGACCATCTGTCCTTGTGTTTGTAGTATGAGTAGCTATATGAAATTCTGGAAAAAAAGGGTTATCTTGATACACGCAGGATAAAGCAAATTGAAGAAAGCCCCATTCACTGTTGCTATGTGAATCTTCTCAGCAAGAGGGGAAGATTTGGTTTGTCTCTGTAGTTACATATGCTCAAGTTCACTTTTTTTGACTCTTAGAAGCTGAAACATCAATCTGTAAGTTTTGGTTTAATTGCATCTTGTGAATTTTCCTTTAACAGCACACTAAACCCAAGTGGGCAATAGACTGAGTTCTGGTACTGAGAAACATTTCACCGTCAGAGCACGTCGGTATCTTGGAAGGTGCACACTGGTGCAGCTCGATGCAATTTCCCACCCCTTCCAACTCAGCTTGGGCCAGTAATCACCATAAATTGCATCGTCTCCCCCTCCCCCCCTATCTATCTATGTATCTATCCATCTTTTTACTTGGAGCAAGTGAAGACAATTAAATTATGAGTAATAGCTTGATAGCCAACCAAAGGTCATCAAAGAGCAGAGGTGATGGCTGCCAGACTTTTTTCCAATCATAATGGAAATTTGCTGAAGAAAAGAACAGTGTGAGAAGTGATGGCATAACATAATGCCTTCCTTTGAAGAGAGCCAGCTAAGAGGGAAGAAGAGAAAGTATTGGGAAAGGCAGAAAAATAGCACTGTGGGGATCACAAATACAGAAACAGAGACAGTGCTTGTCAGACTTGCTAATGGAAATGGTTTCTAACATGCAAAGGCACCAACTTCTGGTCCCCAAGCCCCGTCTCATGCCACTGGCTTCTTTGTGTGAAGAACCACAGGGAGTGCAAAGCAAAACCAAATTCCGTCTGTGTCCTTTGCCAGCTTTCCCCAGCTGCCCGAGGGACTTTGCTCTTTGAAACGGAGGGTATCTGTTCTTTAAAAGGAGCTGTTCACATGTCAGCAAGTCAGTCTGTGTAGCAAAGGAAAGATGCTGAGGATGGCTGCAGGGCTTGGGCTGGGGTGCAGGACGGCTACACAGGAGCCAGTGGCTCAGCAATAACCACAACAAAACCGACTGGCTGAAGTCTGGGGAGCGCCTTGGGCGTGGGAAGCTCTCTGCTACTAAGGGAGCTGCCTGTTCCAGGCTCTCCCACT